AATCCTTGACTCCACACTCATATTTCAGAGAAGAGTTCAAATGTGTTACCTTGTTCTTTTTGAGTTAGCACAGATTTATTGTAGCTAACTCATTTGCAGGTTTCTTTAATCCACAAGGAAAAAAATTAAACTTGTCATCCTCATCAATTATGTTCAAGAATCTTCATGTACCCCTAAAAACTGGTGAGTGTTAGGCTCACAGATTCTCTTAGACCTTTCTTACATCACATTGAAATTCTCTTTTCTTTACTAAATTGGCATTTTTGGAAATAAAACTGTCTTCTCTCAATAGAGTGGGAAACAGTAAATTAACTCAAGGGAATCTCTTTCTGTATTCTTTCAGTTTGACCATGAAATTGATGCTACTTGGCCAGTTCTTTGGGATACTTCTAAAGCTTATCTAGAGGGACTTTAATTTAAAATTGTATGAAAATTTTTATTTTATTAATAATTTTATTAAAATATCTGCCATCACAATAAATTAAGAGCCGAAACTAAATCTAAATTTACGGAGAATATTCAAAGGTTAGAAACTGTACATTAAAAAAACCCTCTGAGTATTTTGTCTTGAAAGAATAACCCCTAGAAAGATACTAGACTTACATTCTGTTATGAGGCTAGGCAGATATTGCACATACTAAGCATAAATATTTTTAAAAGGTTTATGTTTGGGAATAAACTAAATGGGACTAAAATCATCCCTCCTTGCTGACAAGAATAACTGACAAAGTGTACAATAGTACTGATAAAACTGTTTCTGAATTTTAATAAGCTTTGCCAAGGCTTATACCCTTCTTATTCTCCACCTAAAAGAGAGATGGAACACTTTCTATTCCACAGCTGCCAGAATGTCATAGAACTAGATTAAATGTGCTTATTACAGAACAAGAACATCAGCAGGTTACTGGTACCCTAAAAATAAATCTCTCCAGGATCCTGAGTCCCTGTAGAGTTTTACAAAACCTTTCTCTGTAATGCAATTATCCCATTAATGAAACTGTTTAATAATGATCAAACAGCCTCGACATTGTCAGTCATGGAACAATGCAGGTTGATTCTGTGCAGAGTTCCTCCAGAGATGCTGATTTCAGTGAGCATAGACTAGAGTAACGCTTCATGAGATTGTAGTGAAAGGCAGAGAATCAGCAGAACAGTACAATACTATGCACTGACTTCAGTAGAAGGGTATAACTATGTTTACGATGGTATTGCCAGTCTTCTCATGTAGACTTACTTTGCTTCTGAAAATTGTACCATCTTTATGTCTGTCTTGGAGAATACACATAATATTCTTATTGCTACCGTGTTTCCTCGAAAATAAGACACTGTCTTATATTTATTTTTTCTCAAGAAGACACACTAGGGCTTATACCACAAATGCATAGAAATCCTGCTAGGGGAACAGGGTAAGTATATTAATAATATCCAGGGATGAAAATATTACATCTAATTAATTTCTGTAATGTGAACAATGTTGAAATGACCTGATGCTCTTAGATGTGAAAAAGGCATTGGATCATGTTGAGTAGTGGTTTCTTTTTGGTACACAGAACAGTTTTAATTCTAGCGATTTTACGTCTTTGAGCATTTTACTGTAAACCTAAAGTGATAATTGAAATTAACTACTTTCCCGTCTTTGTCTCTGCAACAAAAAAACCCCTGCAGAGCTAACCCACATCACCTTCTTTTTCTTCTTGGCCTCGGTCTTTGCTTTATTGTCTGTGTATCACACTGGCTTAGAAGGGGTATGGCTCTTGTTTGAGATTGCATTGCAAGTTATATTTATGTTCTTTGCTTAATCCAGAGTGATTTTGGAGATCTGTTTGTCAGGAAAAGTGGAACTACTCTTTGAAGTTAATTATATTTCAGTACTCAGTGAAATTGTCTCATATTTGGAATGCTGGAATAAACTTAATATGCATTAAGAAGAATGGCATCTTGAGTGTAGCAATGAGTTTTTTACTTGTATTTGTTAATGTAATCAATATATGTAATTCTCAACAATCGCTGTGGAGCACTGACCAGTAATCCACATAATGGGCCCAGGTACAGATGGGGGGGGGGATCCTCCTATACACAGAAATATCCGAAAAGTAAAAAGAAAAAGAAAAGAGTAGCAAGGAAAGGGAGACACTGTGATTGAAGTGTGGAGGAAAAGAGGAAGTAGCATAGGGAGGGGGGATACAGGAGCATAATGAGATTCCCCCCTGCAAATCAGTATTTGTCCCTCACTTGTTCCCATCTGTTCCTTTTGATATTTTAAAAGTATACTTATGAACCATTTGGACCTTTAAGGAACAACTTCTTTTCTGCTTTTGCGAGAGAACCATGAGAGAGGGTAGTTTGAAAGGCCCCAAGATAATTTTATATCATTTTAAATGCTTGGTTCAATGGATTATTTCAGATAAGAATCTAGATTGGTATACTGCAGGACAAAACTGTTCCAATGGTTTCTCTTGGTAGTAAAGGGAATGTTGTCAGATCTCATATAATCCCTGTAATGTGACCACCGTGGAAGTAAACGACAAACTGAAAAGGGTTTTATTTTTTGTGTCCTGAAATTTAACCATGCATATTTTTTATTTCAAATGATAAATTTATTTGGTGATAAAAGTGTCTAGTTAAGATATTTTTGGTTGAAGGATGTGATTAAGAATGTACACTATTGTTTTCTTGATTTTAATATTTTCATCATACAAATTGCATTTCTGTTGATCTTAGTAGGACCTATCCTTTTTTTGGTAAGTATTGTGTACAATGATATCACTATTCAAATAACAACATTTTCTCAATCTGTTGATTTCCCTAATTTTGTCTCTGATTTTGTTCCTGTAGGAATGGAAATTTTGGGCTCAGTTGTGAGCCCAACTCATAGATGTGAATTTATGCAAATATTGTCCAAATATTGAGTGTCCAAATATTGACGCAAAGTGTCCAGAAACTCAAAGATACACTGATAAATGTTGATGGTTACCAAAATGTGAGAAAGCCAGTATGATGGAGTTGTTAAAGTACTGTACTATGACAGGGTTGACCTGGGTTGAGATCCCCATTCAATCAGTTACATTCTCATAGCCTAGCAGTAATGTTTTGCTTCTTTTCTGAGACCCCTGAAATGTTAACACCTGTAATGGCACCTCTCTGTAGTGTTCTGATGTGACACATGTTATGCTGCCTCCTTGCTTTCCTTAGCGTTTCCTACTTATTTTTGCTCTCACCTTAGAATTCTCAGTTGGACCCAAAGAACAGACTGGCTTTGTTATATTTGGTAGAATTGTCATTCTTCCTTTAGAAGTCAAACAGTGTAATAGTTTCTGTATGGTTCATAAGTGTAATGGTTTCAGTTAGGTATAGTTCTTAATTCTCTAAAGTTCTTTAAAGTTCCATATTCTCGTTTTACTCACTGATGAATTCCTGTTTCTTTGGGTCCCCCCCGTTCTGCCTGTGTTTTGCTCCCTCTACTGGTTGATTTGATATCACATAGGTTTCTTTCCAGCTATCTCCCTGCAGATTTAAACTGCAGGTTTATGCAGGACATAAATCTGTGTGATATTGAATCGACCACCAGAGGGAACAAAACATGTGCAGAACAGAAGAAACCTTTGAGTAGACAGGAACTTACCAGTGAGTAAAATGAGAATGAGGGAAAGCCCCTAGCCATTTTCCACTTGGGCTAATAACATCCACAAAACAGCACATATTTCTCTCCACAGCTCCACACTCAGCTCTCTTCCCACACAGATACACACACTGAACTCCCTCTCTCTCCACAAACCAGTCAACTCCACTCCCTGGGGTACAGCTACATCTAATCATTACACGCTTCAATCACCCATCCAGGCCCCCTCTTTCTTACTCCAGAGGCCTGCCTTTTTAAATGACAGCAACATACATATAAAACTGCACATTAAAACACAGAAGTAAAACACACAAAACACATTTTCATAGCAAAACACCACACTAACCTTCCTTGCAGGGTTGTTGTGATCAGGGGTCATTTCCTGTGGGAGCGCACGGGAGCGGAGCTCCGGCAGTAATGAGCCCAGGGGGAAGGCACATGCAACAAACCCCGCCCCCTGCTCCCAGCAGCCCTCAGTCGGGCCATGAGAACAAGAAGCAGCTAGGTAAGTTGCAGAGCTCCCCCCGGCCCTCTTCTGTGAGGGCAGATCTGCACATTCCCCCTCCCCATAGCTAGCAATCCAAAACAGTCCAGTGGCACCTTTAAGACCAAGTTTTATTCAGATACAAGCTCTCCCTCCTCTATGAGGACAGATCTGCATGTCCCCCCCAATAGCTAGCAATCCAAAACAGTCCAGTGGAGCCTGAGCGGTGGGTGTTGCCTTCTGACACACTTCCGGTGATGTCAGGGGGTGTGGCATATACAAATAAGTTATGCTAATAAGTTATTCTAATGAGCTCCTGCACCTCTTTTTCTACGAAATGACCCCTGGTTGTGATGATAAAATAGAGGGAAAGAACAATATAATTTGCTGTGAGCTCTTTGCAGGATGGGCAGGATACCTGTTCCTGATCCTGTACCAAAATTAGAATGCCTATGTGCCCCCAAGCACTTTGGCAAAATAAATAGAGTCTGTAGTCTCACTAGTACTTGAGCCCAGGGCAGGATATAAATGTGACTGTATTGGACTTTTGCATGAATTTTGTGTGTGGCAAATGGACCTTGCTGGTGGCTTTATGTTTCTTTTCAAGTGCTAACTTACCCTTTTCTTGCATGCATATATTTACAAGTAGGAGTCAAATCATAAAGTCGCAGAATCAGATCTATCTAATTATACTCTTTTTATCAGCAATTTCCGATATCTGAAACGATATTTAAAATACCATGCATTTTATTCTGTTGCATAATATGAAGTTTAAATTCTACAACTAGACAGCTGAGACTTAAACTGGAAACAAAATCCTAGTGCATTCTTGATTTACACCTTTTAATATATAGATTCATTTAATCTTTTTTTCTTTTTTCCTGTCGGAACCATTAGGTGGACAGACTGGCAGGGCTCTACAACATCCATGTCCGCACAGGCTGTTTCTGTAACACTGGAGCTTGCCAGCAGCATTTGGGGATTAGCAATGAGGACATCAAAAAGAACCTCCAGGTCAGTATGGGTTTGGCTCCTCAATGGTTGGTGATGCTACCTAGCCATTCACAATTTCCAGTCTAAAAGATGGATCAAGATGTTAGTCTGTCTGTAGCCGCAGAAAACAGCAAGAGTCCAGTAGCAACTTAAAGACTAAAAAATTGTGGCAGGGGATGAGTTTTCATGATTCACTGCTCACTTCTTCAGATACCTTTTGGACCACCTGCAGCGACTTACGGAAGTGTCTACCTTGCCACAAAGAACATCTCGCAGCCGGAAAAAAGGAGCCGAGCCAAAAAAGAATGACACCAGCCTCCACCAGGGTGCCAGTAGGCAGCCCCTTCCATTGAACTGTTGTGGCCGTAGTTAGGATTCAAATATGTGACTAGCACCCAAAAATGTAAACCGTCCAGAGACTCCTACGGGGGTTAGGGCGGTATATCAAGTTGAAACAATAAATAAATAAATAATAAATACCTTCTGGACCACCTGCAGTGACTTACGGAAGCGTCTACCTTGCCACAAACATTAGTCTTTATGGTGATACTGGACTCTTGCTCTTTTTTACAGTCCAAAAAATGGGTCCTCTGTTAGCCTGTGAAGAGCTAGATTGCAGGGATACTTTTGTGATGTTTCTGCAGATGTCTTACTGGACCTGGTATACACAAGCAGAGCAAATACAGAAGAACAGAAAGCTAAAGAGTTATGGGACCAGTTTCTTTAAAAATGCTTTCTGACATATTTATTCATGGCTGTAATCATTCTAATCTATGCAAATAATGTTTAGGTTTCCTTAGTAGCTTCTGAAATGTAGCAATAGCAACAATACCTTTCTTCAGGGCAGTTGTTCAGTTCTTCTCTGTCTGTTAATTCCGTTCTCCACTTGCATTCTGCCTCTCGGAGAGTTTCTTTGTAATGAGATTTTTATGGTCATGAACTTGTAGCGCCACTAGGGAGTCTACAGAAAGGCCCTTCAAGGTATTCTGGGCCCTCAACACTCCTTTCAGAATTTGAGTCCAGGGGCACCTTCAAGACCAGCCAGATTATCCAGGGTATAAGCTTTCATGAGATGAAGTGAACTTTGACATGGTGATGGTGGAAAGTGTCATCAAGTCACAGAGCCAGTCTGGTGTAGTGGTTAGGAGCAGGGACTCTAACCTGGGAGAACCGGATTTGATTCCCCACTCCTCCACTTGCAGCTGCTGGTGTGACCTTGGGTCAGTCACAAGTTCTTTCAGAGCTGTTCTCTCACGAGCAATTCTCAAAAGAGCTCTCTCAGCCCCACCCACCTCACAGGGTGTCTGTTGTGCGGTGGTGTTAGAGAATGAGCTTGATATTTGCTTTATGGACTGCTTATTGCTACACACAATGGACTGTGCACACACACACACACACAGGCTCAGGTCACCTGTTGTGATGCCACACATAGAAGGTTCCTGCACATACTTACATGTAAATAAGGTTTCAGCTACACAGTTACCCAGCTTGGTGAAGAAGCACACACCTCCATTATTGTGAGCAATGGGACAACAACTCTAGGGAGAGACAGCCCCCATGACAGAGCTTCTTGTAGTCACGTACTACCCATCGCTTGCTTTGTTCCTGAGCTGGTATTTCCTGCCAAATGGACATTTGGTTATCAAAGAAACTGGCCTGCTTCATCAACACTACAATGGAGCATCCTGACGCCTAGATTTCACACCTGTCCAGATGCCATACTCTGAGTAAGGTTTTAGGTTACAATATTGGCCACCCCTTTAGGTAATCTCCCCTTCCCACATGCAACCAATAGGATTGTTTTGGGGATGGACTAACAGGTAGGTGGGTCAAGAGGTTGGCACAGTTACCGCCCATCTCTTGAACCCACTAGAAAAGGACAGAACCAGTCACCAGGCTCCTCCTACCTACCTGGCTAGCTAGCACTTCCCCTGCAACAACCCCTGTCTGCTTTTACCCCTCTTAAGTCCCACTTGCTTTCCCCAACCCTTGCCTCTACTGCCCACACGTTCCGGCTGGTTCTGGTCATGTGTGAATTCCTTTGTTTCCATTTCTTCCCCTCAATTCTTCATTGGAACAACCAAGCTGCAAGACAGATAAGTATCACCCACCGTCACCCCTACCTGCTAATGCAAAAGTGCTTATTTCTTACTGTAAATCTTAAAAACTTGATTGAATGTGTGAGTGCATCAGTATTGCTTGTATGAGATCATATTTTTAAGTAAAAGACTTCTATTTTAACCACAACAGCCTCGAATCCTTTACTGGTAACACTTGGTGGGATCAGAACCTTGGTATAAATTGGCAAGAACCCATTTATAAATTGCCAATTGCTGTAAATAAAGCAATTCGGCTAACAGTGGGGAAGGGGAAGGAGATAGTGAGCTGCTCTGAGACTCCTTCGGGTAATGAAGGGCGGGGTATAAATGCAATCTCTTCTTCTCCTACTACTTATGGCAGCCCCGTAGGGTTTCCAAGGCAAGAGACATTCAGAGGTGCTTTGCTGTTGTCTGCCTCTGTGTAGCAACCCTGGACTTCCTTGGTGGTCTCCCATCCAAGTACTCACCAGGACCAACTCTTCTTAGCTTCCAAGATCTGACAAGGTAGATCTGACAAGCCTGGGCCATCTAGTTCAGGATGAGCTTTTTATTTGTTTGTTTATTAGATTTTTTTAGTCGCCACTCATCCAAAGGGTCTCATGGCGACTTGCAACATTAAAAACGAGCAAGGTAAAAACAAAATAAAAACAAATAAAATATAAAATATTAACATAAACATGTTAAAGTATTGAAATATGCGGCTATCACCCTTCCACTAATAAAAAACAGCCCAAACATATGGTTCCCCTCCAAAGGCCAACCTAAACAATTCGGCCTTGCATGGCCTCCAAAAACCAATCAAGTCTGGCAGGGCAGGGGTGTCATCCGAGAGGGCATTCTACAACGGAGAAGATCCTTCCCCTGGTGACAGGCCCACTGTTCCCTCTAATCCGAGTTAGTGTGAGCCAGCTCACAGTTTTTTAGCCTCCGGCTCACACATTTCTGTCTTAGCTCAGGAAGGATGGGGCTCCAGAGCAAACTAATTGATGCAGTAGCCAAATGGCTCACTGGCAACTTTAATGCCACTAGCTCCCAAAGTAGAATTCTTGCTCACAAGACTCCACCGCTTAGAGGGAGCATTGGTGACAGCTAAGTGAGCCATCCTGCGCCAGGCACCTGCAGGAAGCCCCTAGGGGAGGACCGAAGGGAGTTCAGGGGGTTATAATGGGAGAGGCAGTCCCATAGGTATGAGGGTCTGAGACCATTAAGGACATTAAAGGTTAGCACCAACACCTTGAATTGGATCTGGAGACTAATTGGTAGCTAGTACAGCTGCCGCAGAATTGGAGTAATATGAACCGACCATGATGCTCCAGTCAGCAACCAGGCAGCTGCATGCTGGACCACCTGCAATTTCCAAAGCGTTTTCAAGGATAGCCCTACGTAGAGAAAATTGCAGTAGTCCAATCTGGAGGTAACCGTTGACTTACAAAAGCTTATGTCCTGGAAAACTTGGTTGGTCTTGAACATTTTTCTTTTTCTTTTTGGCCATCTATTTGGAACCGACTTATGGCAACCCCGTGGGGTTTCCAAGGCAAGAGATGTTCAAGGGTGGTTTGCCATTGCCTGCCTCTGCATAGCAACCCTGGTATTTCTTGGGGGTCAAGATCTGACGAGATTGGCCTATCCTCGGCTATCCAAGGTTTTACTGGACTCTTGTTTCATTCTGCTATTACAGACTAAAATCGCTTCCCACCTGAAAGTCACCACTCCTTGAAAGTCACCACTCCACTCGGTAGAGGTTGGACTTCCCTCTGCTTTGGAGTACCAGTTTGAGCAACAGCTTTGGAATGTTGGGGGTTAAAGTAAACACTGGTTGTCTCTATGACAACAGACCACAAAGGGTGAGCACTAACTGTAGAAAAAGAACCTAGTGGAGTACGGATTATTAAACAGAATATTCATAGGCCCTTTAGGAACAACAAAACTCTTTGGACGGCTGCAGAGCTTGGCGAAGTGGAGTTCCTACTGGATTTTACTTTGTCATGTTGTATTCACAGTCCCTCCTTTTCTGCTAATCTCTCATTTTAGAAAAGCTAAATGGCACCTGGTATTTTTGGCCACTGTGTGACAGAGTGTTGGACTAGATGGGCCATTGGCCTGATCCAACATGGGCTTCTCTTATGTCCTTATGACTGGAGAGAAGGACCTTCTAGACACAGAGAAGGCCAGGACTCATCCTACAGCGCTGAGGTCATAGCAAAAAATAAAAGCCAGTGTTGTATTGTGGGTCATGACTGTGCACTAGGGTCGCCAACCTCCAGGTGGGGCCTGGAGTTCTCCCAGATTAGAGCTGATTGCCAGACGACAGAGATCAGTTCCCCTGGAGAAAATGGATGCTTTGGAGGGTGGACTCCATGGCACTGTGCCAACCTGAAGTCCCTCCCCTTCCCAAACCCTTCCCTCCCCAGGCTCCACATTCCAAGTCTCCAGGAAATTTCCTACCCATAGTTGTGTGTGTACTGTTACTTGGTGAGGCCATCATCTTTCACCAAGTGGCCCACAGATTGTCACATCACTGACTCACAGAACAAACTCACAGACCAATGGAGGTGCAGGAATACAGCAGGTATCCTGTGTTCCCTCAGGGAAACAGTGGGTTAGTGACCCGTGAGGGGATTGAGGGAAATATCCCAAGAGGCAAGCTAACAGGAGAGAGAGGGAAAATCACAGAAGATGCAGAATCCCCAAGTCCTCTCCTACACAGGCAGGCTCTATGCCTTGGTGGAAGGGCACTCCATTTCTGAATGTTAAGGACTTCAAAGTCAAATACCTTTTATTGGCATACAATATTAGTGTCAGCAAGCTGCCATGGTGTTCTGTGTGACTTCTGGTTGTACATATGTGATCCCTGTCCCTGCCAGCTGACCTATGTGTTTGCCTGCTGTGATGCCAAAGTAAAACAACTGGAGGATGTGAGGGGGAGAGTATGCTTCGCTGCCAGCTTGTTATTTCTCAAGCCTGAGAACTGCACCTGTGTTGTGTCTACTGTTTGCCTGGTTCCCAAGATCTGAGCAAGGAACCGTTTTCTCCTGCCCGCCGGCGGGAACGTTATCCATTGGTTCTGTATCTAACTTGAATCCCTTTATCATGTCTGCCCTAACTGCTGGTCCCCAGTTCTAACAAAGAACGTGTTTGAGTGTCTTTCCAATGCTTTGAAATAAACTTTGCTTTCTTTGAAACGTGGATTTATTCTCGATGCTTGGGGATCCAACATATTGTTAGAACTCTTTTTTCTTCCTATCGTCCCGATTCTGGCGAGACCATGAGCGGGTCTGAGGGAACCCTACCTACCACGGAGGGGGACACAAGATCGGTCCCCACTACCTCCGCACCTTTGATTGTTACGACTACCGCACCAGGAGAAGGTGCTGTGGGGGGAGCGATTCCCCGACTGCCTGCCTACCTGTCTTGGCCGCCTCCAACCCCTTCGAATTGGGGTGCGCGGAAGACACCAGCAATTCCCAATATTAATACAATCTAATAGACATTATAAAATAGATAGTCGTGGTAAACCATTCCAAGGATATATCAAGCCTCAGGGACGCGTGTGGGTTGGATCGGGTCACGGCAGTGGGGAAGGGGTGGGTGGGGAGGTGGGTAACAATTCCTCCCCCTCCGGTTCCATCTCCTGGCCAGAAATTGGGCCCTCTGCCTTAAAAGGCTATTAGCCCCAATAGGGGGAAAGGCCCATGGCCTATGTGTTTCTTCCCTGTACCAAAGTGAATAGCTGCCCAGAGGGAACTGTTTGTGTGGAGGAAGGGTGTTAAATTCCTGTGCCCCAGCACCATGGTCCCCGGCTGCTTTCAGATGAAGCTAAAGAGATGGGATCTCTTGCCTCTCCTCTATTTAAGCCCTTAGCTGTATATGTAAAATCATGCAATACTATGAATAATCAAAGGAAAGTCCCCTTACCCAGTTCTGCCCTCCCAATACGACACACAGTTGCCAGGAGGATTATAAACAACCCACCCCACTATGTGGGGATGCCGTTGAAGAGAACTACCTAGTGCAGAACACAGCCTGGCCGTCATTTGACAGGAAACAACAGATGTGATCACATGACACCTGTCTTAGAGCAACTGAATTGGTTACCTACATGCTTTGGGGTTCAATGTAAAGTGCTGGTTGTAACCTTTATAGCCTTCCTTGGCCCAGAGACCTTAGGGAACACCTCTCCCCACACGAATCTACAGCTCCACTGTGACCGTCTTCCCACTTTGGTAATATCCCATAAAGATGGGTCCAGGCAGGTCTGTCTAGGGACGGCATTCCAAAGCGTGGGTCTGAGAACTGGGAGGATATCTGGGGAGGAAGTGACACAAAATAAGGGACCCTGCTTATTATCATCGGGGGAGCGAGACGTCCCTGGCGGATGACAGGGTTGTGGGGACATATACTGCTGTTGTTCTGTTATAACATCTTCAGAACAACATCTTGATTTTATGATTAGGAGTGAGTATTGGAGCACTGATAATTTTAATAACTGTATTATGTTGTATTATTGTATTTTTATACTGTTCTTACTGTTTTAATCTGGCATTTATGCCCTTGTTAGTCGCCCTGAGCCTTCGGGGAGGGCGGGATACAAATCTAAAGAATGAATGAATGAATGAATGAATGAATGAATGAATGAATGAATAATCATCCTGAGGGATTCCCTTGCCACTCACAACCCCTCCATCTCTGTGTTGGAACAGAATCTGTTGCTGTAAAAAATAGTCAAATATTTCATTTTGTGGTACTATTTACGAAAAACACATGCTTATACTACTTCTTTTAACCTAACTAGGCCGGCCATGTGTGTGGAGATGACATAGATGTAGTCGATGGACGTCCCACCGGGTCTGTGAGGATCTCGTTTGGCTACATGTCCACATTTGAAGACGCACAGACCTTTCTGAAGTTCATCATTGCCACCAGGCTCTGTGGTTGCAACACACTTATTTGTCCTTCTCAAGCAGAGACGGTTTCACCAGCGGCAGCATCGACCAAAGAAAATGGCTATACTTGTGATACCAAGACTGTCGACGAACTTCCTCCGCAGAGAATCATAACGGACTCTCAGGCTAACACCAGTTCTCCTCCGGGGGTGACCTCAGTCTGTCCACAGCTTGCCGAGGGACATTCAGAAAGGAACACGACTGATATTTCTGGGAATTCAACAGAAGTGCCACAGAGTGGTAGAGTGCCAGTAACTGTCACCAACATTTATCTCTACCCAATCAAATCATGTGCCGCCTTTGAGGTAAATGCTTTCAGTGATATTTTAAAAGAGTTGCGTTGCGTTGTCTGTCATGTGTATCTCTGAATATTGAGTTTTCTGCATAGAGGTTGTTTTTTCTGAACAGAGAAGTGTCAGTCGTGTGACTCTTGACCTGGCATCTGAAGTGGTACAACACAATTATGCCCTGGTCTGGATAGCCCAGCCTGGCCTGATCCCATCAGATCTCGGAAGCTAAGCAGGGTCAGCCCCGGTTAGTACTTCAGTGGGAGACCACCGAGGAAGTCCAGGGTCGCTACATAGGGGCAGGCAATGGCAAACCGCCTCTGTTCATCTCTTGCCTTGAAATCCTAAGAGGTCGCCATAACTCAGCGGTGATTCGATGGCGCTTTCCACCTCAACCCAATCGTAGGTTTACCATCTCACTGAGAACTAACTCTTGAATATGGACTGACTCCAGTAGAAGCTCTGCTTGTCCCGTGTGAACCTGTATTCTGTATTCTGCCTGCTGGGAGGTGTCTCACTCGCCCTCCTCCCACTTACTACTTCTTTGAGTGGAAAGGAGGAGAAAATTCATACAGAACCTTAGAAAAACCAGGTCAGGATGTCTGGTAGGAGAAACAGATGAATGCCAACCAAGCAGTGAGAGCAGGACTGCAGCAATATGTGACCCATCCACCTGAACTCTGCCACCAGCAGTGTATGGGGCTGCCTGAGACCCCGGAGAGCCACTGCCCGTCTGATTAGACAATACTGACCGTGATGGACCAAGGGTCTGATTCAGTATAAGGCAGCCTTTGTGTGTTCATGAGAGTTTTTGCTGCCTGCCTGCTCTACAAAAACAGAGCAGCTGAGTTCCTCCTGGTCACCGGTACAAAGCTGGTGGGCTATCTTTGGCCTGGTGAGGCACAAGCTGTAGAAAACGAGAGCCAACATGGTCACAGTGGTTGTGAAGACAAAATGGCAGATGTGAGCTGCTTCGTGTGTATCTCCATTGTGGAGAGAAGCAGGCTATAACTATCTAAATAAAAAGTCTGCATTAAAGAGCACGAGGCAATATCAAGCCGGCTGAGTTTAAATGTGAATTGACACCATTTTCTTAAATCCATGGAGGGCTGGTCTTCAAAATCGATGGCGGGCTTGTTAGGCCAAAACAGTCCTGTCCTCCCAAGGCCCCCCACACAGGGGCCACGCTTTGATCTGTGCAAGGGACAAAAGGACAGTAACGTTGGCTTTACCCACTGACTGGCTACCTCACAGGGTGTCTGTTGTGGGGCGGGGAAGAGAAAGGAGACATAAGAAGGTAAGAGAAGCCATGTTGGGTCAGGCCAATGGCCCATCCAGTCCAACACTCTGTGTCACACACTGGCCAAAAATACCAGGTGCCATCAGGTGGTCCACCAGTGGGGCCAGAACTCCAGAAGCCCTCCCACTGTTGCCCCCCAAGCACCAAGAAGACAAAGTGTCACTGCCCCAGACATAAGAGCATAAGACAAGCCATGTTGGATCAGGCCAATGGCCCATCCAGTCCAGCACTCTGTCACACAGTGGCCAAAAATACTAGGTGCCCTCAGGAGGTCCACCAGCGGGGGCAGGACACTAGAAGTCCTCCCACTCTTCCCCCCCCCCAAGCACCAAGAATACAGAGCCAGATCTTGCCAAGGATAGTTGAATATTTCTCCAGCTTCTAATTCTCCTCTGGAAATAATAAATAAATCAGAGATTGGGTTGCCTGAGTTTTCATCCTAGGGCAGCTGACTATGTAAACATGCCCAAAGTTGGGTTTTTCAAGGGTATTCCCTCTAGACTGAGACTCATAATACCTATCACTACATTTATTTCTGGTGGTTCTACGAAATAACACAACCTTGCTTGGGAATGAATAGCCTGCCTACCTAAATACTAATTCCATAATTAGCATGCTTGTATTCACCAGCATGGGAGGGCTGCGGGCTATGCTGGGTGGATGGTAATTGGAGAACAACCTGATTAACATGGTATAATTGAGAGGATGCTGATTTGCATTACAAAGAAATGTTATAATTAAAATATATTTGCAACAGAAATATGACATTTAAGTGTTGCGGTACAATCTGAAAGTTCACTCTGCAGATTTTAATTGCTGCTTTTTTTTTGCCCTGTTAATAACATGGCCACCTTGTATGTGGCTTCTTTCCATCTTTTTTTGAATAGCACAAGATGAAATAGGTGGATGGTCTGCACAATGACCTAGAATCTGGCTTCCCCTTTGCAATGTGTTTTGCAGTGCTTTAATGAATGTCAGTATTATTATATCTTCTTTTATGAAAACCTCCTCGTGTGGGTCACAGTCCCACATCAGAATGAAAATTGAGGTCAAAGCTACTGACTATTTACGTGCATTTAAAATATATTCCATTTAATAAGATTTTTAGCTGCTGGCAGTTTAAAGTAAAATGTAATAGGAAATATTATCAGGGCAGTCACATTTTTGCTTAAGTGTAAATAACACATTACTCTTGGCACTGTGAGTACAGCGCTTAGTTCACAGGCTCACCCTTGGAAAACGGAGAGACCAGGTTCAATTTGAAATTCTCATGCTACAGAAATACATCTGCTGAAGGCAAAGTAATGCAAATTAAGCAGAGTTACATAAAATTACTGGGTTTTGTGGCAGAATTCTTTGTTTTGTTGGGAAAAAACGCAGCCTAGGTTTACATGTATTGTGAACTTAAAAAAAAGAGATGATGTTGATTAAAATTGTGCAGATCAGTAATCCAGGTTCCGGAGTAAGAAAAATCTGGATCCTGCAACATATGTGAATTGATCAGAAGCAAATACACATGACCCATACAATCTTAAAAAGAGTCACACCCTTCTAAGTCTATTAAAGTCAATGGTCTTCGGTTCAGGTGGGGTAGCCACGTTGGTCTGAAGCAGCAGAACGAAGTTGGAGTCCAAAGGCGCCTTTAAGACCAACAAAGTTGAAGAATACCCAGAATAAAACTTTGTTGGTCTTAAAGGTGCCAGTGGACTCAAACAGTGGTCTTAGGTGTAGGTCTGCTTGGGATAACAATGCCAGATGTAGGCAGACCTTATGTATAGTACAGTGGTTCCAGTAAGGCGTAAAGCATTCTACTGTAGTGAAACATAAAATGACAATGTTTTTAGCTAGAGATGAAAGCTGACATGGATGGGACAGTCAGTAATTCAAGAGGGTTACCAAGGGAACTGATCTACTCGTAGGGTGAAGAGGAGAATAAAGCAGGTACGGGCAGGGCCGGCTCGTGGTGTTTCTGCGCCCTAGGCAAGGCTGCCTTATGGTGCAGATGCCAACCTCCCGGTGGGGCCTGGAGACCTGGGGACCTCTGGAGCCAGCCACCCTTTTGCTGCTGCCACCACCGCCTCCCCCCCCGCCACCACCAAAGGGGGGGAGGAGGGGGGAGCCACAGCTTGGCGCCCCATCCAGGGCCTGGCGCTCTAAGTGAATGCCTAGTTCGCCTAGTGGGTGAGCCGGCCCTGGGCACGGGTCAAGAAAACGGAAAGATTTTGTGCAAGGAAGGGGTAGACAAGGAAAAAATTTTGTTCGGTTGATCCAGTGGAGCGTTTGCTTGGCATTCAGAAGGTCCCCAGGTTCAATCCTTGGCATCTCCAATTAAAAGGTACCAGGTAGTAAGTGATGTGAAAGGCCTCAGTGGTAGAGCATCTGCTTGGCATGCAGAAGGTCCTGGGTTCAGTTTCCGGCATCTCGAGTTAAAAGGATCAGGTGATGGGAAAGACTGCCTGAAACCCTGGAGAGCGGCTGTCATCTTGAGTAGGCTGTACTGACCGTGATAGACCAATGGTCTGGTTCAGTATAAGGCTGCTTCCTGCATGAGCTGCCTTTTGCCAGTCTGCGCCGTTCCCCTCTTTCTCTGCCCTAGTTTTGCTTTGCCTCTGCAGACCCCCATTGGACAAAAGAGGAGAGTTGTCAGATATCAATATCCCTCTTTTCTGTAAAGATCTTTATTCCTGTCACTGCCCTTTTAATTGAATGAATCCTTTATGCACTTGTTCACCCATGCTAAAATTCATCAGCGAGCTTTGGTATCTGGTTTGTAAACTGGGCGTATTTGTTGCCTTAAAAGACCAAGTTCACGTGGAATTATTAGGACAAATGTGCACAATCAAAATTAATCAAAGGTTCTTTATGGACGGCTTTCCCTGTGGGGTTTAGAAACTCCTATATGAATACAAAGCACATTTGTAAATAAAGTTGTTGCAAGGTTGGCTTTTAGCAACGGAATAAGGGTCTTTTCTGCATGCTCACTTTCCTCACTTGTGTGTTTCTGTTACTTTGGAGGGGTTTTGCCTGTTTCGCATGTGCTTTCCTCCCTCTAGTGGTCAGTTTGATATCATATCTCTTTACGTCCAGCATAAAAACCTATAGTTTAAATCTGCAGGGAGATATGCTGGACATAAAGCAGTGTGATATCGAATTGACCACTAGAGGGAGCAATGGAACCAAACCCCTGAAGCAACACCAAAATGAGGAACATGAAAATGTGGGAAAGCCCCAGCAAAGGAGCTGCAAATATGAATCAAAATATGTCAAACAAATGTTGGAAATGTAAGAGGCATGAGGGCTCATTTTATCATATGTGGTGGACTTGTGAGAAAGCTGTAGACTTTTGGACAAAAGTCCACAATGAAATGCAAAAAATACTGAAATGTTCTTTTAAAAAAGCACCGGAAATTCTGCTTTTGGGACTCAAAATGGAAGAAGTCAATACGACTAAAAAAACTTTACTCTGGTACCTGATAGTGACAGCGAGAATGATTTATGCTCAGTTTTGGAAGACGGAAAAGGTACCAGAGGTTGAAGAATGGATACAAAAAGTTCTGTTCATGGCACAAATGGATAAGATTACAAAAAAACTGAATAACAAAGAAGACGATGAGTTTTTTGGAGAATGGAATGATTTTAAAATTTATCTGGAAAAGAACTGGGATGTGAAACAAAACTTAATATGTTTAGATCAATATTAAGTCAAACGATGTTATCT